TTTTTTTTTCGGTGCTTTTTACAATGTGTTTGTCATCTAATAGAGAAAATGCTTTGTACTTAGCTGTTCTTTTAGTGAACAAGTCACCAGATTTGCTAGGCACTATCAATGCAGTCCCAACTGCATTTTGTCAATTCACGAAATCCTTTTGCAAGGGAATAAGCTGACCACAGAAAACCATGTATGTTACCTGCATCTTCTGGATATTCAATTGCCTTTCTACCACTCACAGTGTAATGCAGTTTACAGCTCCTCTCACAAACTTTGCGAGGTTCGATTCAATATATTTAGGGAAGCCATTAATTTGCATCTTGAGTAAGCTTCTTTTTACTTTTGTCATTTGTTATTTGATGATCTTCAGAAAAGTTATCTTCCACTTATAGCATGCCTCCAAATTTTCAGTTTTGTTCTGTTTTGATCTAAACGGCTCCGAAACAATTTCATTAAGATTCTAGAGACCAGACGAGTTCAAAAACTGAACTTTTCCCAGAACGTTGCCCTGTGGCATCAAACTGTATGGCAGCAAGTTTCCAAGTGTTACACAGTTGGCTTCCGGGTATCGAGGCGCATCTTTCGTAAAAAGAGGCGTGACACCTATTTATCAACCTATGTGGACACCCATGCCAATTACCCCAATAACTAAAAACTTACCATGTTCTTTCTCATCTCATTTTAGCAGACATTTCTCGCTTGCTGACCGAATCAGCTATGGATATATCGAAGAGCAATGATCTCCCCGGTCAACCGGCACAGTTTGATATAGTTTCGGCTAGTCAAGACCAACTGCTTGATCTTCTCGTCCTCCAGAACTCCGCCTCCCTCATGTCGGAGACTAACCTGCCGAGTAATTTTACTACTAAATGTGTTGTGCAGAAACTGGAATTGCCCATCCGTTGTGAGATCAGCTTTATCGACTACGAGGTAAGTTATGATGAACACTGAGAGTGCTATCTTTATTTATCTCTTCTTTTATTTAAAGCTGACCCTTTTACCAACATGAGCAGCTCTGTGAATTGTTTTTTTGCGTGTGTCATCCGTGTAGTAGCCACGATAACCCACAAACCTTGGTGTGTTGTAACGTTTGGCCTAAGCATTATCTAAGTAAGCTTCTGCTGCGATAGGCCACTGCATTAGGACTCACTTCGGACAATTTTTTTCTGATCCAGATCCATTCCGTTTTCTCTCATAAGGCTGGTTTTCTTTATAAAATGTCGCGACGAGCTAAACGCCCTGATGATACAACTCGATCCTCTCCTTGGCTGCGAGTCAGTTCGCAATGGCTCCTTAAAACCACCTCGATAACAGAACTCGTCGATTTGCGATCCAACATTGTGGA